AGGCCCAACTGCTCACCATTGGACTAGATCTCACAACAACCATTCTTGGGGGGGTGATTCTGCTAACTTGCTCAATTAGTTTCCTCATGGACAAAAAAAGAGAGAAAAGCACAGGGATAGTCATCAAAATGCACATATGACACTAGAAAGAAATATTAACTGGCAGAAGAAGGGTGGGCGTCCGTGAGGGGGGGCAGAGGACATCCCTGCGTGTACATGTTCCTTCAACCCTAAAAAAATGTTGATTTACTATGTGGTCCTCATGGTCAAAGGTTTGGAGACCCCTGATCTAGTGGCAAGCAGCTATTCTGGCCAACTTACGAAAGAATATGTAACACAACATCCAATACAAAACAGCACATAAAGATAACAAGATAAAGGTAAATGTTCCCCTTGACATTTTTAGTCCAGTTTTGTCCGACTCTAGGGGCTCATCCCGTTTTCAAGCCATAGAGCCAGCGCTTGTCCAAAGACAGTTTCCATTGTCACGTGGCCAGCGTGAGAAGGGAACACCATTTTATCTTCCCACCGAGGTGGTACCTATTTATCTACTAGCATTTGCATGCTTTCGAACTGCTAGGCTGGCAAGGAGCTGGGACAAAGTGACGGGAGCTCACTCCGTCACAACTGCTGGTCTTCTGGCCCTGCAGCACAGAAACTTCTCCGGTTTAGCCCGCAGTCCCACCATGTCCCTTTAAAGATAACAAATCAAACATCAAAAGCATGAAATAATACAGCATAACAACAAAAAACAAACAAAAAATAACCAGAAAATCCCACAGATGGTGACAACGGATGAACCGAAAACTACACAGAATGGACTGGAACATCTCTCATGTGGGAGGATGGACCTGAAGGCTTGTTTGAATAGCACTATTTTCACCAGCTTCCTAAAGGACGGAAGGAAGAGAGCTTGGTGCACATGAGCAGGCAGGGAGATCCATTAAGTCACAGCCGCCACCATGAAGGCCTGGTTTCTGGTTAATGTTTTCTTGGATGACTACCCACAACAATACATCCTGAGATAATCAAGTGGCACAGGTAGTAGATCTTAGGAAGAGACACTTTGATAAGTACTAAGGTCCCAAGCCATTCAGGGCTTTGTAAATTAGAATTACAGTAGTGCCTCGCACAACGAGCATGCTGTAGAGCGATGAATTCGCTCTACAGGGACGTTTTTTCGATCGCTAATGTGATCACAGAGCGACGGCCCCAATGGGTGAAAATCGCAGAGCGAAGGTCGGTAAGCGGTTCACTTACCGACCTTCGCTTTGCGACCCGCCGATCAGCTGTTCCGCGGCTACAAAATGGCCGCTGGAAGCCCTAAAATGGCCACGCACAGCGCTTTCACGCCCTCGTTAAGCGAGGGGTGGGCGCGAAAATGGCTGCCGGCCATAGAGGAACATCGCTGTACGGTGAGTAAATCAGCCGATTGGAACGCATTAAACTAAGTTTAATACATTCCAATGGCTTTTTTCTTTCCGTACAGCGATGTTTCACACAGCGAGGGTTAATCCAGAATGGATTAACCTCGCTGTGCGAGGCACCATTGTACTGTATTTTTCCGTGTAGAAGAAGCCTTCCACTTTTCTAACCCAAAATTTCTTTCTTTGCAAGAAAGTGGAGGGGGAAAGCGATTCCTGCTTTCCCCCTACATTTTCATTCCAAAAAGCAGCTTTTCCCCTCTACGTCTTTGCAAAATGTGGAGGGGGGAAAGCAGGGATCAAAGCACTTTGATCCCTTCCCCCCTTCTTACTTCTGTGTATAAAAGGACCCTCAATTTTTCCTTTAATTATTTTATGAAAAAGTGCCATTTTATATGCGGAAAAATATGGTAACACTTTGAATTTGGCACAGAAGCAGACAGGAAGCCAGTGCAGGCTTTCCAGAACTGAGGAATCATGACTACCGTGTATCTAGAAACTCCCCCGATCAACCAGGCAGCCACATTTTGCACCTGCTCCAGTTTCTGAATTGCCCTCAAAGGCAGCCCCACATAGAAAACATTGCAGCAAGAGATTGTTGGGATTAACAACACATAAATAAGTGTGCCCAGGGATTTCTTGCCCACGATGGATAGAAATATATAAATTTTTTAAAACTTAAAAATAAGATTTTAAAAATTTAAATCAGATTTTTAAAATAAAGTGCTTTTTGGAGGAAAAATCTATTTTTTCTATTTAAGATAATTATAGTTCAAAGGTTACTTTTAAAATAAGAATGACCGTATTTTTCGCTCTATAAGACGGACTTCCCCCCCAAAAAAGTGGGGGGGAAGTGCCTGCATCTTATGGAGCAAATACTGTAAAACAGCGCTCCCCAGGGCCCAGTGGGGGGATGGTGGGGGGAGTCTTGGAAGGGTCCAAGAATGCTTGGTTTCTCCTGCCCTCAAGGAAACACTCAATAGGCCCATCAGAAAGAAACCTAATTTGGCGGTGGATGAAACTGGCAATTATAGGCCCGTCACCAATGTTTCTTTCATCAGCAAAGTGGTCGCGAGTGTGGTGGCTGACCAGCTTCAGGCTCATTTGGATGAAACAGATGCCCTGGATCCATTTCAGTCGGGCTTCAGGCCGCGCAACGGTACAGAGATGGCATTAGTCACCCTGTATGATGACCTGTGGAGGGAGGCTGACAGGGGCAAAATACCTCTGTTGGTACTTCTTGACATCTTGGCGGCCTTCGATACCGTTGACCACTATATCCTCCTGGGGAGGCTTTCCGAGTTGGGAATTGGTGGCCATACACTTGCATGGCTCCGATCCTTCCTTGGGGCGCGTCCTCAGAGAGTACAGCTTGGGGCAAGGTTATCGGCCCCGTGGACTCTCAGTTGTGGGGTTCCGCAGGGTTCGATCATCTGTCCAATGCTATTTAACAACTAGATGAGGCAGCTGGGTGGGGTCATCAGGGGGTGTGGGGTACCGTGTCATCAATATGCTGATGACACTCAGCTCTACATCTCCTTTTCAGCAACTGCAGGAGATGCCATTCTGTCCCTCCAGCGCTGCCTGGGGACTATACTGCAATGGATGCAGTAAAATGGGCTGAGGCTGAACCCGGACAAGATGCAGGTCGTGAGGGTGGGTGCCTCCATTGTTGGCGGTTTGGGTGACTCTCTCTTGTTTGGGGGGACCCTTGCCGCAAAAGTGGGGTTCATAGCTTGGGGATCCATCTGGACCTGGCGCTCACCATGGAAACACAGTTGGCGTCGGTGGTCCACACCGCCTATTTCCACCTTTGGCAGATAGCCCAAATGCAACCCTATCTTGATATGCAACCCTATCTCGATATGGTACATGAGCTTGTAATCTCGAGATTAGACCACTGTAATGCGCTCTACGTGGGGCTACCTTTGAGGTTGATGCGGAAACTCCAAGTGGTGCAGAATGCGGTGGCCACACTCCTTAGTGGAGTGAGAAAATGCCATCATATTTCTCCTATTCTGGCCGCATTGCACTGGCTGCCCATTCGGTTCTGCATTGACTTCAAAGTTTTAATGCTTACTTATAAAGCCCTAAACGGTTTAGGGCCTCGATACAGTATTTGGTGGAGCGCCTACTCCCACCAAGGTCTACCCGTATCACCTGAGCGAGTCAGGAGGTGAGGCTGAGGAGCTTGACGCCGAGGGAGGCCTGGAAGGAAAAAACAAGAAACGGGCCCTTCTCGGCGGTAGCTCCTCGCCTCTGGAACAATCTTCCTCTGGAGATTCGTGCGGCCCCTTCGCTGGTTATCTTTAAAACCCAATTAAAAACATGGATATTCACACAGGCCTTCCCTCCAGCTAATATTTGATTCTTTTTTCCCATCTTGAAGAATCTGTTAGCCGACGTAATAATTTGTGTTAATATTTTACATGTCATTTTATTGTATTTGGAAGCCGCCTAGAGTGGTCGTAAGACCAGATAGGTGGGATATAAATAAAATAAATAAATAAATAAATAAAAATAATAGACTATCAGTATCTTCCAAGAATGTCTACACAAGAATGTCTAACCACCAGCTTTTCTATGAGCAGGATGTGCTAGCAATTGGCCTATAATCGGCCCAATTGTTCTTTCCTTCAAACAATGAAAATATAGAAATTTTCAAACAACGCATATAGAAATGCCATATGATAGTACAGGCAGGTGGGAATCTTACCACACACTCTTAAGTATGTTTCCTCAGAAGTAACACTGCTCAAGAATGTCTAACCACCAGCTTTTCTATGAGCAGGATGTGCTAGCAATTGGCCTATAATCGGCCCAATTGTTCTTTCCTTCAAACAATGAAAATATAGAAATTTTCAAACAACGCATATAGAAATGCCATATGATAGTACAGGCAGGTGGGAATCTTACCACACACTCTTAAGTATGTTTCCTCAGAAGTAACACTGCTGTGTTCCCAGCTACAAGAAATATAGCCTTTTACTTGTGGGGAAATAATTATTGCCTTTTGAACTCATTCATTCACTGCTGGCTTCAGCTCCATGCACTACTAGCACCCACACTGCAGTACTGCTGAGGAAACATAGCCCTCAACAAAAAAGGAATTATATTAAAACCAATAAGGAAAGGTTCGTGTTACATATTCATCATAAGAACCTGTAAAGAACTGCACCCCAAATGGTTTAGTTATATTTAATTCTGAATAGCTAAGTGGCTTATACATGCTTCTCCAGAGTAATGCAAGACAACATGAGTGCCTGAGAAGGTTTTTCTATAAATCGCCTTGATGATAAAATCAGCAACAAAAATCTTCAAAAATAAAACTATCCAGTTCATTTTAAAAACAAACTGTACGAACAATATGCTGTTCAGCTGAGAAGTGTACAGGACATAAAACTGAATCACAGTCTAATATTTCAACCCCTGTTACAGGCAGGAATAAAATATATGGTCATAGCAATCATGAGAAATACTTTGCTAAAAATCAAAAACCTGCATCATATTACTTATTCTGCAAAATGTGTTATAATATATGCATTTTTCCAGAAACAGCAAAGATTTATCACAAGTGTATTTTGAATAAAGAGTGGTATTTAAGAGACAATAACACATCTGAAAATATTACCTTAATACTGAATATCTTTAAAGAAAGTAAATTACAATTTTACCTTTCAGATGCTTCCTGCTTTAATAGTGGGTCATGAGACATACACGTATCTGTTTCCACAAAATCCAGTAAGTCATGATATGGACTTAGTGATTCTCTCTCTATATCTGTGTTACATATCCCATTAAACGATGTATCTAAACTCCTCTGCTCTGGACTGAAAGTATCACCTTCGCCGGAATGCCTGTGATTGCTTGGAGAATTAGCTACACTACTTTCTTCCTGCTCTGAGCTACTATTTTGCTTCACATCACGCTGAACTCTACTACTCAAACCATCTTCCCTGAAACCTTTAGCAAATGGGTTGTAGTCTATTTTTAATTGTGTAATTTGGATGTTTTGATATGCAGTCACAGCAAAGAACTCTGTCTGTGAGAAAGTGAAAGTATGGACATCAGGACCATTTAGCTGTATAACATCAGTAGCTTTGTCAGCAGGAATCAGGTGTAGTCGAGGTAGATAACGGTGCATAGAGTGCAGAATTATATGTCCTTCCTGGTCCAAGGTGTTATTAGTAAGTTTTAGCTTGTAGAAAGACACTGGCTGGTGCATCCAATAGTAACCAGTAGAAGGAGATTCTGGGTGAATGAACACTCTTCCAAGCACATGGGGTTCTGCTTTCCCACTGGGCTCCCAACTATGGCCATTCCACTTATAGCGAAAATTGTCCACTGGAGAAATATCCATGACTAAGATATACTTCAAGTTGGATTCAAGACCTGCTATCCAGTATCGACAATATGGAAACATTCGTCTTCCCTGTTTAGTCAAGATCATTTCTGTGCTACGATGATAAAATTCATTCCACATATTATTATTGTCAAGTGTAACAGTAACACTTCCTGATGTACAATCAGCTGGAAGGTAGGACTTTACTTTTGATTTTACTGGTGTTGATGCACTGCTGGTGAGACCACAATCAATCTGATTTGAAATGCAGGCTCCTTGGTCTGACTTCCCAGTGTTCTGTTTCACAAGGACATAAAATGCAGGCGTTGCACTTGATGCTGTTCCACCATTCTGCTTTCCTAACACAACTGACAGATTCTCCATTTTGGGAACTCCTGATGTTTCTCCAGTGTTCTCCATGTTGACTGTATTCACAATGCTGACTGTTTTTTCTTCATACTCATCAACCTAGAAAAGAAAATCACCTTAATATAACAAATATCCATACAATATATACAATTACTCGTTGTGTTATAAACATATACAATCTTTCAGAGCAAATTCAAGCCCTCAATCCCCCATCAATGGCTGCACAACACCTGGGAATGGGGGAAACTGCCTTTAAAAATACTGGATCGAGAAAATCTAATTAGCTAAGACACTTATATTGGTTGGTTTTAGTGTAATGGAAGAATCTTGGGAGAACCCCACCCAGAGTTCAAGAAAAATAATGTGGTTTTCCCCCCCCCACCCCAGCTATATTTTGTTTTAAACAAACTTTTTTGGGTGACCATGGGAGCTGCAAAAATTCTCATAGGGGCCACAAGTGCTCTAATGCACTCACCCATTGTAAAGGACCCCTTCAGAACAGTGAATTGTACATAATAACCAATATAATACTACTACCAATTTCAGTTCAAATAACACAGTTAAAATACATCATCGTTTAACAACTGCATGACAATATAAGCATAAGATTAAAATGGCTTGGGCCCTGGATACCTGAAGGACCGCCTCCTTCCATATGAACCTACCTGGCAGTTAAGATCCAGCCAGGGGGCCCTTTTGAAAGAGCAGTCCCTTAAGGAGGTAAGAGGAACAGCTTGTAGACAAAGGGCCTTTTCAGCAGCTCCCCCCAGACTATGGAATGCCCTCCCAACTGAGATGCATCTGGCGCTAACGCTGATGACATTTCGGTGCCAGGTCAAAAAAAGAAGGCTTTTAATTAAGATAATGTTAGCTGTGGGTCCGATGGCAATTTTTATATATATATTAATTGTATTTTAATTTTTCTGATTTTTATTGTATTTTAAATGTTGTAAGCCGCCCAGATACCTTTGGGTAGTGTGGGTGGCATATAAATTAAATAAATAAAAATAAATAAATAAATAAAACAAAACATTTAAAACACTAAAAGAAAAAAGAATGCAAATCCTGTTAAAGTCTATTATAATGCCCCAGTGCTAGGATTACATTAACTAAGTTTCAACACCTGTAATGATTTTTTAAACACTGGTTTACTTTAATAAATCCATAATAAATGTAATGCTACTAGGTAAAGGTAAAGATTCCCCTTGACAATTTGTCCAGTCATGTCCGACACTAGGGCGCGGTTCTTATCTCCGTCTCCAAGCCGCAGAGCCAGTGTTTGTCCGAAGACAGTTTCCGTGGTCATGTGGCCAGCGCGACTAGACACGGAATGCCATTACCTTCCCGCTGAGGTGGTAGCTACTTTCATTTGCATGCTTTCAAACTGCTAGGTTGGCAGGAATGTTACTAAGTACAGTCTAACCAAAGGATGGGTAACCTGGGCCCCATCATATATTTTCAACTCCAGTAATTTCTGGATGACAGCTGTGGTCCAAAACTTCCAAAAGTCAATTGGTTACCTATATTTGGAGTCCTTTTTAATATGTTATACTGAAAAACATGGGAAATTTAAAGTACTTAACTTTGACTAGATTATAGCAAAACTTTAAAACGAAGATTTAATGTAACATTTTATAATGTCTGATACCAAAACAAAAGTTCTTTTCCTCAGGAATATTTATGCACAGAAGTTAATCTACTTGGGTATTATGCCAAACCAAAAGAAATCTTAAATATGGCTTAGCTCAATGTCTGAATTGGCAAATCACTGTTTGTGATGGGCTAATAAACCCAAATGAGAAAACACTGTTTGTAACCACAGTGTTTTCCCTGTTTTGCTATGATTCCTCTATTGGCAACCTATTATTTGGTCATGTTACTGAGCACATGGAGACACAGACCAATTTATGAAGTCAAGTGACATGAAACCAGAAAAAAAGAAAAAAGATGAATAGATCTAAACCACAGATTGCACCTGGAAGTTATAACCAAGTTTTGAATCCTATATTACAGTTAGTACAAATTAATGTTTGGTATAACATCTAAAATAAATCACAGGTATGAGACGGGATCATAAATTCACTCGAGACAGATCCTAAATCTGAAGGTAAGAATAACATACAATATATATTTGTGTATAAAACAATATAATCACAAGCCATCAAGTCAATTCTGACTTAAGGAGATCCTTTTCAGGGTTTTCAGCAAAAATGAACAGAACATTACAATCTAAGTTTTTTACAGTAGTTATAACAGAAAGGTATAGTGACACAAACATGATGTGTAGCTACTTGTGTGCAGAATAGACTTATCTTCTACATAAGCTAAAAAGCTAAAGTACAACATACAGTCTATCAGTCCATCAAAACAACAAATTCAAAACCATAGAATTTCATTAAGGAGCATACTTTTTGCCACTGCAGACCATGGTTTGGAAGTTATGAATGCACTACAGGTTCAAGTGCTCCTCCCATCCAATTCACTATAACCATAATTTGCCGTATCAAATTTATGGAAATTATGGTTATTACAACTAGCAAGTGGAGAAAGAAATGGATGTCAACAAAGAAGAACACAAGAAATCACCAAAAGGTCAAACTATAATTCTGCTGAGGCAGGTGAGCAAGAATTTTTTTTCCTTCTAAATTTCAACACACGTGCTTGATTTCTCAAATTTTTCATCAAATTCCATCAATCTGATATTTCCGTAATTCTTATTTTAGCAAGCTAAACAGAAAACCACAGCATTAAAAGTACAACCATAATCTCCTTCTGGTCTCACACATTACAACCTTCTCCTCCCTTCAGACATGAGAAAATCCTACTTAATTTTACACTGAATTTAGCACGTTACCCAATCATAAATTACTGACTGCAGCTAGTGACGTATTATCAAAGATCTGTAGGATTTCCAATTTACTTCAGATCAAAGGTACTCCTGCATCTACAAACCATGTGTTACCATGGCCAGATCAGACACACTTAGTTACATCCCAGCTGGATTACTGTAACACAGCCTACATGGAGCTGCCTTTGGAAAGTGTCTGGAAACTGCAGTGGGCCCAAAATGCTACAGCCAGATTGTTAACTGGGCCGATTACAGGGATCACTTAACCTCCCTGTTAGAGCAGCTCCAATGTTTGCTGATCCATTTCTTGGATATAATTTGTAGTGCTGATTTTGACCTATAAAGCCCTAAACAGCTTAGATCCAAACTATTGTAAGAACAGTGTGTACTGCCAAGGTGTTAAGATCAGGGGGGGTCCTTTCTCTTGGCCCTACCACCCCTACAGGTGCATTTGGTGGGGACACAAGAGAGGGCCTGGCTGATCCCATCTTTGAGGTCCTTTGCTGCTAACTATACTGTATTATTCTCTGCATACACCATTGATATTCGCAACATATTATCATTCTCAGACTATTTGTGGGTACTTCTACATAAAATGTAACTTTAATAAACTATCTAAAACTGCAAAGCCTTTTCACACCCCTAGAACTGCACTACTAGCTTTCAAAAATAATGTCAAATTATTATTATTATTATTATTATTATTATTATTATTATTTATTTATTTATTTACTGCATATAAATATAAAACAATTATACGCAGTAAATGCACTCGTAGGGATAGGACAATACTCAGAATAATGTCTTTGTTTACTTTTGTTTTTGCTTCCTAGTCTGGAGGTTGCCTGATATTAATGTTGCATTGTAAATAAATGAAGGAAATACATAGGTGTTTTAAATTCTTTCTCCGTTATATTAACGAACAGGGCGAAAAGCATACAAACATGAAATCTACAGTTTTCAACACCAATATGAACTGAAATATTTTAAGTTCCATGGCATCATTTCACACCTGATACAAACCTAGGTGCATTTAAGTACGGTTGATTTAATCTGCATCAAACACGAGCAAAGCCTGAGGTTTACATATAATCTGGCAATACGGTTTAAAAAATGTTCAGTGAATGGAATTGTGGTTCGCTCCCGTTTGTTGACTCTCCGTCTTGCACACCCTGGAGAGTCACGTGCTCCCGTCAGAAGCCTAAGGGCTGCCTTCCGAGAACGGCTCTCGCCCGCTAACAGTACACCAAGGGACGTCAAGCCCGCGCCATCCCGAGCAAAACCACACCACCCGTTACGGTCAGGCCGGCGAAGGCAAGCTGGACGGGCAAAGAGAGAGAAACCTCCGCCGCCCTCCTCCCGCAAAAAGTCGCGAGTCAAGAAAAACTCCCCAAGGCCTGCTGCCGAGCGACGCGTGTTAAAGAGACCCGACAGCCTCTTCCGAGCAGAACACGCACGTGCGCGCCCGTGAAAGCCAGCCTCCCCTCCCCCCCTCGTTTCCCGCCGTCCTGACCGAAGCAGCTGCCTAACCGCAAACGCTTCCCTCGAGTCCACCACCCGTGACGCCGCCTCCGATGCCCCGCGGCTGAGGCGCCTCGAAGTCTTGAGCCCCCGCGCGGCGTGAGGAACCTCCCTGACACGCGAGGAACGGCGCGCTCGCGCCCGCGGTCGCCCCTCCCCCTCCAGAGCTTCGAACCACCCCGCTCATGGCCGTCGCGAGCGGGTGTTAATTTTCTCAGCTGGCACCAACCTCGGCAGGAGGTGTGTGTGAGCCACGCGGGAAGCGGCTC